GCGGGGACCAGAGCACCTTCCATCTTAATCATTACAAGACTCTCTAAGCTGGACTTCTAGACTTGCTCTACCTTCCACCTTACCCCCAGTCTCTTGGCCATATGGCAGCTTCCAGAATTCACAACAAAAAAACATTATTTTATTGTTTTATTTTCCCATTTAAAATGCTTCAGTGACTTTTCATTATTCTTGGGCTGGAGTCCAATACCTTTTACCCAGCCCAGCACTCTGCAGCACGTTGCCCTTGCCTGCCCTTCTAGCTTGCTTTCCTTTCTTGGCATCCCAGTGTTCCTCTCCCCAGCAGATCATTGTTTTTGCCATCTACAACATTCTTTAAGTCTAATTAACACTTACTCATCCTTAGGGCTCAGCCTAAACATCCATTTCTCACGCATCTGACTTCTCTATATCTCATACGGCACATAGTCCCCCTCATCGGAGCAGAGGGGGCATGTGTGTAATCATTTGTTCACGTCTGTCTACATCCAGCCTGGAATCACCATAAGGGCAAGGACTTTGCTTTTCTTCTTCACTGAGGGCTCCTTGGTGCCTGGCACAGGGTAGGTTCTTACAGATAGTTCTTGAATAAATAATGGATGACCATCTTACAAAGCAACTTGCAAGCTTGTTTGTAGCGTGAAGGTCTTGATGTTCAAAGGGAAGGCTTCTGGAATTGAGGATCTGATGGAGATTTTTGTGTGTGTTTATTTTCTGTTTCCCTTGTGTCAAAATTTATAAAGATAGAAAAGGTATTACTGAAAAAAAAAATCAGAGCTTCTGGTATTTCAGAGAAAAAGTAAAATCAGGGGGATATTTTGTCCTGCTTTGGGATTCTCTTTAGTGACCTGCTGCTAAGAGATTGAGAGAGAGAAGCTTGCTTCAGCAAAACACACAGATGAAGGAAAGTTAGTCATCAAACTACTTTATACTGTTTTGGACAAGAGAAGCTGACTTCAGAAACTCCCCAAGAAACTGTTGGCCAGGAAGATCCCCGAATTTGCTGCTCTCAGGAGAGGAAAGAGTAGAGAGGTGCTATCAACCAGCAATTACCCATGGGTTTTCTTCTAAGACCTAAGTAGGCGGAGAAAAACATGGCGATGGAGTGATTTTGTGACACACCGTATTGGAGAAAGACAAAACAGACTGCTTGCAATTAGTACCTCTGCCCTGAGTTTATTTTTCCTTGGATTATGTTATGGTTTATACATGAATGGACTGGTTTTGGTGGTAGATATTTATATGCATTGGTCCTTTACATGATTGACAGTGCTATGGAACTTTCATTGTAGGCTTTTTTGTCTTCTGTTAAATTCCAAATTCATACAGTCCTATTTTTGGGCTATGTCTCGTTCATCAGCACCTTTAATTCTACTTGTCACAGAAAAAAATTGGAAAAAAAGCACAGTCCAGAGAAGATGTAACATGCCTCATTAAGACTGATGGGAACATCAAAAAGCAATGTAGAGAAGCAAAGGTTTGTTCCTCCCTTGTCTAAAGAAACACGCTGGACTTGGCATAGAGTCTCCGGGTGTGGTAGAATGCCTGCTCATCACCTTCCAGAGTTATGAAATTCTTCCATTACACCTAGAAGTCTGTATTAGGGAGCGTAAAGGTGGTGAGGCTGTTTGTAAATTTCCACTGCATTTTCGAAATTGATGACTACATCACAATCAACATCCAGAATGACCTGCCTTCAGTGGTTCTCTCTCCTGGATGTAGTTAATCAATCCTTATTTGGTATAAAAATAAGAATGGGAATCCCAGCATGGCATCACGCCCCTAAAAGAACAGCTCCAGACCTACACTTTCTCTTGTGGATAAGAAAAGGATCTGATGAAACTCACCATGTTTCAGCATTTGAAGGAGTGAATTTTTTCAGTTCTACAGTTTCTAAGACTATATTAAAAAAAAAATAGGGGATGGGAACAAATAATATACTATAATCTTTGAAATCTTTCTACTTATCTACTAGACAAATTCTTATCATCCTTCCAAAATCCAGCTTAAACAGACTCTCAGCTGTGAACTGTTTCCTGCTCATCCTGGGAGAGTTAATCCCTCCATCCACTGTACAGTGATCTTACACTTCCATTGCTGTACACGCTGCACTATTCTTTTGTTTCTGTACCTGTCTCTTCCTTTAGGTTGTGTGAGCTTTAAGGGCAAGATGCCTGTGTTACCCATTATCTTCCTGGCACCTGACATAGTGCTTGGTATACACGAGGGACTCAGTAAGTATTTGCTAATAAGAGATTGAATGAATAATCTTTTTAAAAGAAACACAAAGCCCAACAATTCTACTAATTACTGCTTAAGTTTTCATATATGAGACTAGATGCACACCCAATGAATTCCATGAACAGAGTTTCAAATATCTGCTGACTTGTGCTCCCTGGGTTTGACTTCTGGTGACAGCATGATCCCAAGGGCCTCACAGTCTCTAAACTTTGGCCCTTGAATGTGCTGATCAAAGAACATCCAGATGTTGCCCTTGCTTGGTTTTCCCTTCTGACTTCAACATTTTGGCAATCCCATCTACTCTTCAAGCCTTGTATTTAACTTGCCTCCTCCAAAAGCACCACTGAGAAACCCTAATCCTTGGAGAAAAGACAAATATCCAAATGGTCTGCAGAAGGACTCTACAGATCAGATACAAATTCTAGGGAAGCTTACTTCAGAAAACCAGGAAGGTGACAAGCTTGGCTCTGCTGGCCTTCTCTACCAGATTCTTGTCAAGATAACACTTGACTACAAATGGTTTTATAAAGTAAATCTCCTGGAGAGCCAATTATTTTCCTCAAAAGCTGGGAGAGGGGAGACAGTTCATGCAGTATATGCATTCTAACCACCAAGGGGAGACTCTCTGTGAGAAGCAAACACTCTGATGGAGTTCGCCCTGTAAATGTAACAGTGAGGGCAATAAATGTAGTTTTGTAGTTACTCATCAGAAGAAATCTTGGCGCCTTATTTTGTGTGTGGAAACCACTAGAGTTCTGTTCAAAGTGGCTCAAAACGTCCCATCTCCCTGAAGTCTTAGACCTCTTGCAAGTTATTTTGCCCCTTGACATCCAGATCGTCCATCTTTAAAAGGGTAGAAATAATGGTTCCTTCCTACCTCACTGTATCTCTTTCAGGCTCTCACAAGAAAACACAAGTAAAGAATGAATGCCAGCCATATACAAAGTGCATGGTAAAAACTGGTGATTAATGATGACGGTGGTCCTCTTCCTTCTGTTCTTCCCCTCCTTCTCTTTCTACAAGAGCTACTACACTTCTCTCTCCCTTTCTCTTCATCATTTTCCTTCTTCCCTCTAGTCCACTCTATGTAGCCTCGATGGCCAGAAACTCTTTTTCAAACAATGGTCTATTCATGTAAAAAGAAGCTAATGCCCAACAAACTCGATGGCAGAAGGAGGAAAAAGAGAAAAAGTTACACAGCCTTAAAGATCATCATCAACTATGGGATATCCCAAATCCAGTGTCATGGACCAGTCTGCTTTCAGCCTGGAAACTTTCTGGCAAAGCTGTTTATTGACAGGTTACTATATCAGTGCAGATGTTTCAATATATCTATTACATATAATATATGCATATAGTTTCTACTGACTTTACATATTTTAAGCCTCAGATTAAGACTATAGGCATGTGTGGGGCGCCTGGGTGGCTCAGTGGGTTAAAGCCTCTGCCTTCAGCTCAGGTCATGGTCCCAGGGTCCTGGGATCGAGCCCCGCGTCGGGCTCTCTGCTCGGTGGGGAGCCTGCTTCCTTTCCTCTCTCTCTCTGCCTGCCTCTCTGACTACTTGTGATCTCTGTCTGTCAAATAAATAAATAAAATCTTAAAAAAAAAAGACTATAGGCGTGTTTAACAATAACCTATAATCAGAGAACAAATTTTATTTAAGTTTAAAGTGACCACAGTGACAATGGTGCACATGTTATCCAAAATCTTATAAAAAAAAAACAACAAAAAAATAAGATAAATGCTATGGCTTGCATAGTTGCTTCCAGCTGCGTGCAGAAAATTTGCTGGCCATTACCGGAAAGATGACAGATTCCTGTCATCTTTCCTCAAACGTAACTTATTAAAGTTTAAAAACTTAAGTGGGAACTTTTTAGAGGGTCAAAGTGAAGCCTCTGCTTTCTCTGTTTCTCTTCGTGGCTCTTTCAGACAAAGAAACAAGAGTAACCGGAGACCCCAAAGCCTGAAAAGGGTGTGGGGTTGGAGCACAAGGGCCGTTCCCCATCTAGCAGCCCACCCACAGCCTTCCCGGCCATTCGGCCCCAGCCGGCTGCACTGTCACCCACGCCCCCTCTCTCAGGGCATCAAGGTGGGCATGGTTTTGGAGCACCAGGCGTGAAGGTAAGAAAGGGACTGAAGCAGAGGCAAAACAACACAAGGCCAGACCTGGAGATCGCTTTGCAACTCTTCACTCCAACCTAAGTGCTGCCCCTTTTTTCTTGTTTGTTTTTGTACATCGTTGTTTGCCCCTCAGGCATCAAGCTGTTAGTGTGTACAGGAGGGATTAACGTGAGACGGTATGTTGGATGAAATATAAATTAAAATTATACTTCTGTCAGTCTGGAATCAGGGATTGTTTCTCAAGGTCTCCCCAAACACTTAATTTCAAATGAGTCTTCATTTATTACTTCAGGAAAGGCCAAATGCATAATTTATCAGCAGCTTTCAGTCAATATACCCTTATAAGCATGTTTCCCATGAGCCTTTGAGTAAAAATATGTTATGCTAATTCTATTAGTTGGGTACACAAGAGCAGTCTAAGAGAGTAAACAAGCATTAAAAGGAGACACATGTGAACCAAGAAATACCTATCAACCTACCATCCAGGGTCGAATTACCAAGGGAACAGCAAGGAGGTGGTAAACTCATCCTGTTATTTAAACTAAGACTGTCTCCCCAACAGGAATCCCGAGCTGTCCTGTGGTGGATCCGTGTGGGTGGCTCTGAGAAGGCAACAGGCGTGATGGGCAACAGGCACTTACCGGGTCTCCAGTGGCACGTTGCTGTTTAGTACCCAGCTGTCCTGAAGCTGAACGGACTCTGGCGTGGTTGCTAGGTCATTGGGCGCGGGAGCTGGGGCGTGGATCTGGCTCCGCCGGTTGGTCAGTGAGTTCCTGTTGAGGGAGTTGGCAGACGAGTGGTGATGGGACAGAGTGTGGTTGTGAGGGGGAGGCAGAGGGGGCCTCAGAGTCGACTGGCTGTGGTGGTTTGGAGGACCTGGAAAGAGGAGGAAGGAGAAACGGTCATCAGGGACTGCAGACTGCCGCCGCCAAGGCTCTTCAAACCCACGGAGTAGAGCCTAGAACCCGTGCCTCTATGTGGGTTAATTTCTGAAAGTCACAGACTAGACACATAGATAAGACTGCAAATGCCTAATTCCAGGGTTGGTTACTCATATGTAACATGGTTTGCTTTGCTTTTTTCTGCCAGCCTCAGAAGAAGGAGAAACTAGGTTAGTAAAACCAGGCTAGAACACATTAATCTTGAAGAGGAAGTCACATGACAGTCAGGGTTGATCATTGTTGTAGAAAGTCCGTATACTCTCTCCTGGTAAACCAGTTCACTACATACATGCTTTACAAATATTTCCTTCCTTTCTTCCTTTTATTTTATTTGAGAGAGAGAGAAAGAGAGAGAGAAGGTACAGAGAGGGAGGGAGAGGGACAAGCAAACCCTGCATTGAATGTAAGCCTGACATGGGGCCCCATCTCATGACCCTGAGATCATGACACAAGGTGAAATCAAGAGTCAGATGCTCAACTGACAGAGCCACCCAAGTGTCCCAAATATTTCCTCCTTCTAAAGGTAACAGAATATGGTACCCTCTAAGAGAGTAGCATACTTAAATACCTGTGGGGGCCAAGCAGGAAAGGGAGGTGGGCCAGTTGTGGACTGAGGTGACCTGGAGAGGGCAGGAAGCAGCCCTCCCTCAGATCTGAGCCCATGTGGCCATGTGGGAATAAGGGCCCAAGGCAGCCAGATCAAGTTTTTCAAGGAAAGCTGAAGATCTGGACTTTTAGATAAAATTTCCCATGCTTTGAAGATGGTGACAATTAATTTTAAAAAAGTGTAGGTGTTTTGTGTGTATGTGTGTGTACATACACACATACACACACATATATATATAAAATTTGTTTTTAAATAAGACTTTAAGAAAATACCTGTGAGCCTGCTCAGACATCGGGTCTGATGTTTTCAAACCATGACCCTCACTCCAAATTGCATCCTATTTTCTTCTCTTGAAATCCTCTCTCCTTGCAGGAGAAATGCACAAAGGAGAACTATACCTCTGCGTGTATCCTCTTGTAAATATGACCACAGATGACAACTCCACACAGGGTTTTCCTAGCAACCCATTCTCAATCTACAAAATGAAATATTTTAAGCATAATGAAAATGAAAGTAGTTCGCTATGCAATGTAAGCCTATAATTTGGTTTTAATGGCTGCTGAAACATGACTTTTAATTTGTGTCCATTTTTGAAGCCTCCAGTCGAGGTTGGCAGCTCACCAGGTGACTGCCTAGCCTTGTCATTTTGGCCCCTGCCAACTTTTAAAATCCTCAGCCCCTGCTGTCCTGGCTTTAAGAAGTTGGCTCACATCATTTAAACAAGCAATTTGACACAAATTTCAACTACTTGTCTCCTTATGTGGCCAGGCTACATCTTCAAAAGGTGTAATCTACATTCCGTGGCTCCTGGGAAGCTTGCAGAAATATTCCGAAAGAAAGACAACATGTCAAGAAGATACTAGGTTTGGAGAGCATCATGACTGAGGAAAACAAGAAGGAAAAATAACAGAGGAAAGTGGTTCCTCGAAGTTTGTGTTCCTGGGCTGAAATTACTTGGGGGGATCTTTTTTTTTGGTCTTCAGAGAAAGACAACTAAAACTAAACCCCAGTGGGAAATGCCACCGTAGAGTTGTACAGATTTAAAATCGTGTCCTCCAAATGAACCTGCAATTCGTATTTTACATTATGCACCAGTGACATTTTAAATATATCTTTGAGAGAGTTTCATAGCTGGAGCGGGCTATTACATTTCCTGGCATTGTTGTCTGTCTAGTAATGTATTATTACATAGTTATTTAGCATTTGTCTGTCTTGTATTAGTGGGAAGAGGTGAGAAAAGGGGGTGAAATGATGTAATCATGATCCTTTAGAGATGCTATCCAAGCCCCTTACACAGGGTTAATAAATTCTCATGCCTTCCTTTCCCTTCTCTCAACTTCCATCCAAGTGGTCATTATTTGCCATTAGTTAGGTAATCTTGAGACTTGCCTCAGGAAGATGAGATGAATCGGTGTACAAGTGGGAACCTAGCCTTCTCAGCCCCAAGCCCTCACTTTGCATCTCCCTCAGCAACCAGTCCCCACCTCCAAAGCTCCAGACCACACACTCTCCCAAAGTACAAAGAGGCCCTGGGAGATATTTAATTCACTAAATGAGATACCAGAACCCTCCTGCTTCCTGTCTATTCATCCTGAGCTGAGGTTTCTTTGCTAACTCCCACTTGGGTGGCCCTTCCCTGTCCATCTGTGTTCTGTGTGGGTGGAATTCCTGTGGTTTCCCATTTGTTGATCATATCCAGGGGTGGTGCTGGGGGGAATGGAACCACGGACCCAGGTGTTATGTGGCATAGTCCCAAGAAAATGGATGGTGAGTGTTCCAGTTAGCTGGAAGAGAAGTTGAGCTGCTAAAGAGAAGGTCTAGAGCTTCATGGAGGAGAGCAAAGAAGACGTAATTCTCTGCTCACCCTGCCCTCCTATAAAGCATGTTATTTCACTGCAAATAAATCACATTATCAACAACAACCACCATCTAGCATCATCAGTATTAGAAGATGTTTTCCTCATTACTGTTGCTCATTTCCACTGTGACACAGAGGATATTTGCTCATTTATCTATCCATCTAACGATCATATTTTGCAACTAGGTGCAAGAACTAGAGAAGACAATTTGAATAGAGTGGTAAAAGCTACCACCGGGGTGTGTACAGAGAGACAGGGGAGCATCTGGGGGGACACTTAGTCCGTGGGTAGGAAACACAAATCTAAAGAACCTGGGTTCAAGGATTGGGTCTGCCCCTTTCACATTGTGTGAACCTGGGCTTCCAACCCCATGTTCTGTAATCCTGAGTACTCACCTATCACTGGTGACCACAGCACTAAGTAGCCGTGTGTCAACATGGAAGATGGTGGGGAAGAGGAACGGGGAGTGTCAAGCCTGCCACCCGAGGCTGGTAAGTTCCCCAACCATGTGCATGGAACCCTGATTGCTTCCGTCAGGAATAAAAGCATGAATAAGACATGATTATGGCTCTCAAGGAGCCCAGATTTGAGTACAGGACATAAACCCAGATTTCAACCATCTAGGCAGAAGTCGCAAACTGACAGCCCCCAAGATGCACATGACCAAAATTTCAGAGTCAAGATTTTGTAGAACGTTCCAGATCACTGACTTCTCTTGAGAACAAAACTAGAACAAAAATACAGAGTCTATTCTCCCACAGCAGCAACTGGATATAGCTTAATGCCTTAGGATGGTTTTCTGGTTTGCCATCAACCCTAAAATCCCTGTTATTTTAATTTGGCCGGATATATGCATTTATGTTACTGTGGGTAGGCATTTATGTCTTTGATTGCTGGTTTCCTCTGTGGTACCTTCGTATTCCGGGTAGTTAATGTATCTCTAATATAGCAACACCTCTGCTACAACTAATGATCTCAAGCACTTTTTGTGTTTATTGGTTTTCATTACAGTCATCCAAAGAGCTTGCTGGGTCTGATGGTTTTCCATTTCAAAAAATGCAAACAATGGCCAGCAACATGCCTTACTGCTTTCCATGAGGCCAAATTACATAGAAAAGCCCTTCTGAAAGGCAACTCGTGTCTTCAATAGATGCTGAAACAGAAATGATTAACAGCTTAGCTTGATGAAGGAACCTTCGCGTCCACTCTGAGTTCCACCCAGTTATTGGGTTTAATTAATGTGCATATTAATGGCTCTTCTATTGCATAAATATGAAATCACATAATAATGCAATTGAGCCACGAATAACTGTGTAACATAAATGCTTACACACTATCAACTTAATAAGTATGCTATTAGCAGGCAAAAGGCAACTGTCATTACAATCACAGCGCTAACCTATTATCTTGTACCTGATTTATCTGGAGTTGAGAACCTAGAATTTATTTTTAGGTACCATGTGGCCTTTCGTCTGAGGAAGGAGGAGCGGCACACTGGTCCTCTGTTAAAAGCGAGGGCAGGAGCACCCTCATAGAGGGGTCATGTGGCAAAGTACCCTTCTCCAAAACAGTCCGCCTTCATCCCTCTGAGGGGAAAAAAATTGAGAGAAGGGAAAAGCAAAGCCGACCCAGTTGGCCTCAACTGGACTGTTACTTTAAGTTTAATTTATAAAATGCTTGGAAAGAGGAAAAAAAAAAAAAAAGGCTAGGGCAGGATAGGTAAGATTCCCAGCGAGGGGAGGATAAGTGAATTTAGTGAGAAGGTGCTTCCTGTATGTTTATTTTTTTAAGAGATTTTATTTAGTTATTTGACAGAGAGAGAGAGATCACAAGTAGGCAGAGAGGCAGGCAGAGAGAAGGGAGAAACAGGCTCCCTGCTGAGCGGAGAGCCCGACTAGGGACTCCATCCCAGGACCCTGAGACCATGACCTGAGCTGAAGGCAGAGGCTTAACCCTCTGAGCCACCCAGGTGCCCCTGCTTCCTGTATGTTTAAAAAACCAAGTGCTTGAATGAGTGCTTGATTTGTCCTGTTTGCTCAAAAAAACTATGCTTAAGATTTGCTGTTGCCAGGAATTTTGGTCCTGACAGGGATGCCATTCCCATATTCTCACCTTCCTAAATGCCAACTGGTTGACAGCGGAGTCGTAAGAAAAACAAAGTAGTGCTTCTTTGTTGGGCAACAGTATCAACTCTAACAAAGTTAGACCCGGAGACTGCAAAATGCTGGAGTATCAGCTCCTGGGTTAACTCGACTAACGAAGCTCAAACAGCATGTGGAAATAACCAACGCCTACATAGTCAATAATGTATAAAGGAAGGATTTTCTTTGGAGCTAAGGAAGGAAATTCTTAATAATTGGCTATTGTTGCACTCTTCCTAAATAAACAGGTGGGTGAGACATTTAGGCTAGGTTTACCCTTGCCAAGAGGGGGTGGGTGTGCAGGAGAGT